ACTATCAACATTTTGTTTAGTAGAGCTACATATATATTTTGCTAAGAATTTATATTGCAACCTAACAAATATTTTACAAACATCAAAACGTATAACACATATGCATCATTCTCCATCACAAATTATCAAGCTCTAGTCAATATATCTAAAACATGGTAGATAAACAATTTAATTATCTAACTCATTTTTTTCATAAATTAGAAAAAGGCTTCTTCAATGCATCTCAACTCCTTTCATAATCAACGTTTTCTATGTTACAATTGCCACAAGTTACATTATTATTTATAAAAACCACTTTATTTGTGTAGCGTTTTTTGTAAGAAGAATACCATGGCTCATACTACTAAATTATATACTGACAAATGAATTTCATTTGGTAAAAGAAATAACTACTATAATAACCTTAGTTATTCTTAATTGCAAGACACATTATAGTTATGAGATTATGACCATCTATGCTTATTATTGGACTTATAAATTATAAAGGATAAATAATTAAAGAATAAACAAAGTAAAGAAAATAAAGCCAATTTTATTGGCGCTTCCTTCTCAATTAATTCTTTGATGTTGTTTTTTGGCCATTCGTAATAGAAACCGTAGTGATTTGAACTTTCTGAAATTATTATTTTTATTTGGCTTTTCTTCTTGTACGAGAACCCATATGATCAACATTAGTTGGTCAAATTTTATCATCTTGTTCCCGTTAGCGGGGAGATCAATCCTTTGAATTTAGTCTTCCTCTACACACTAAAGTAAATCATCAATGATTTAATCATAATATTCTCAATCCCGTTTTGGCTCTTGAACTGTCTAGCTTTAATTGATTGTGTCGAGATTATGATATTTTCCACTATTTATTTATGCAACCCAATAGGAATAATTGGCAAAATAATTTTTTTGAAGAATAATGAATTGGCCGAGTGTTTAAGAGACCAATTTTTACTTCCTAAAGGCTAAAGCCAATTGTTAAGTTACAAATGAAAGAGTAAGCAACCGACACAACCTTTTGAAAAGACACCAACTCATAGGTTTTCTTATTATTTTTATTTTTATTTAAATATTATAATTGAATAATATATAATTAAAAATAATAATTTAATTATTTAGAAGGATGTATATGTAATTCAACTTTTTCGTTTAGGTATATATATATATATATATATATATATATATATAATATGAAAACTGAAATCAGGAGGCATGTGGCCCAATAAAATGCTGCCAGCAAATTAAAAGTAGAGCTCACAAATTCTATGATTAAATTGAGGATAATTTTAACAATCTATATCTATATATTATTAAAAGGAAAGGAAAAAGCCCTCTCCTTAAGTCAAGTGGCAGCCTAAAAAAATGCCACATGGCATAATAGGTTACTAATTAGTTATTTAGTTTATAATTAGTTATTGGTTACTTATTTTTGAATTTAAATAACATATAAAAAACGAAAATAATAAAATAACAATAAAAAACTATCAATAAATATTAATTGGTTACTTTATTTGGATTAATAAATATAAGATATCTTATAATTAAATATAATTAAAACGTAAATTAAATATATATAAAAATAAACTACTCATTCAAATTGGGTGGGGAGTAGTTTCAAGTTTGAGTTTTTAAATTTTTTTAAAATAAAAAATGAAATTAAAAAAAATAATGAATTACCAATTCAAATTGGGGAGTAGTTTCAAATTGGAGTTTTAAAATTATTTTAAATAAAAAAAATAAAAAATCTATTTATATATAATATACACATAAAAAATGAAAATAATAAAATATAATAAAAAATTGACATAAATTATATATATATATATATATATATATATATATATATATATATATATATATTAATTGTTACTTTATTTGGATTTTAATAAATTAGATATCTTATAATTAAATAATAATAAAAAATAACAATAATATATAAAAAAATAAACTACCCATTTCAAATTGGGTGGGAGTAGTTTCAAGTTTGAGTTTTTTAAAATTATTTTAAAAATAAAAATCAAAAAAAAAATTAACCTATAAAAAAAACGAAAAAAGAGAAGAAAAATTGCCCATTCAAATCGAGAAGTAGTTTCAAGTTGGAGTTTTAAAGTAAAAAATAAAATTAAAAAGAAATAGTGAATTACAAATTCAAATTGGGGAATAGTTTCAAATTGGAGTTTTAAAATTATTTTAAATTAAAAAAAGCGAAAAATCTATTTATATGTACATATAAAACGAAAATAATAAAATAAAATAAAAAACTACCAATAATATATATATATATTATATATATATAATATATATATATAAATTGGTTACTTTATTAGGATAATAAATATAGATATTCTTATAATTAAAAAAACGAAAATCAAATATAAAAAAATAACTACCCATTTAAATTTCGTGGAGTGATTTCAAGTTTGAGTTTTTAAAATTATTTTAAAATAAAAAAGCAAAAAAATTTACCTATAAAAACGAAAAAAGAAAGAAAAAACTACCCATTCAAATTGGGAAGTAGTTTCAAGTTGGAGTTTTTTAAAAATTAAAAAATGAAATTAAAAAAGATAATGAATTAATCCAATTCAAATTGGGGAGTAGTTTCAAATTGGAGTTTTTAAAATTATTTTGAAATAAGAAAACGAAAAATCTATTTATATATAATATATAATATAAAAAATGAAAATAATAAAATAAAAAACAAAAATTACCATATATATAGTAATTGATTACTTTATTTGATTAATAAATATAGATATCGTATAATTAAATATGATAAATAAACACGAAAAATAAATATATTAAAAATAACTACCCTTCAAATTGGGTGGGAGTAGTTTCAAGTTTGAGTTTTTAAATTATATTAAAGAAAAAGCAAAAAAAAAATTACCAATAAAAAAACGAAAAAAAAAAGAAGAAAAAAACTACCATTCAAATCGGGAAGTAGTTTCAAGTTGGAGTTTTAAATAATTTTAAATAAAAACAAAATTAAATAAATATGAATTACTAATTCATATTGGGGAATAGTTTCAAATTGGAGTTTTAAAATTATTCTAAAATAAAAAAACGAAAAATCTATTTATATAAATAATATATAATATAATATAATATAATATAATATAATATAATATAATATAATATATGTATAATATATAATATATATAATAGGAGAGTCAAAGAAATCTATATCTATATATATATAATAGAAGAGGCAAAGAAATGTTATAATGACAAGTGTCATAATTTCTATTAACAATATAATTATACTAAATATTGGATAATATAATAAATAAAAATATATAACGAAAAAATTATTTGATGACTATATAAGTCCCTTTAATTTAATGGAGATTTTATTTATTAAAATTTAGACAATATCTATTCTATTTATATATAATAGGATAATCAAATAATTGTGATAATTTTAAATGTAACATCGAAAAATTAACAAAGTGACAAATATTTTTTTAATATTGACGGCGCATCGCGCGAGTACGACTACTAGTTACAAATAACGACAGAAGTATTTAGGAACCAAAAAGTGGATAGAGAATAAATTTAAACAATTTACTAAATAATACAAAAGGTGGTGGATGGAGTGGTGAACTAACCACCCAAAATGATAAAGGAGACGTGTCTCATTCCATACGCATGCATAATTTTGGTTCGTCAATATTTAAAACCGGAATTTAAGGAATAAAGTCCATATTTGAAATGCCTATCGAAAATCGAAAAAAATCTGTAGGGAATGCTTTTGGGTCGATGGTGATTTGCTGTCTCCACCTCCGCAATGGGATCATCAACCTCATATTTCTCTTGTGCTTTGCTGACATCTGTCTTTTTCTGTGTCCTCTTTGACCCCACAACTTTCCACTTTCTATAATTTCAAACTTCTTGTTAAATCTAATTACCAAAATGCCAAGTTCCAAACAACGTTTTAAGGTTCTTTTCATATGTGCTTTATGCTTTGCGCTAATTTCTTTTTGAATTGGTTATGGTTTAACTCGTCCGAATACGATCTAAACACACCTCTAGTCATTGGTGTACACTCAAGGAGGATCTTGGGTTATATTTCTCGCGAGAAAGGACACATAAGTATGTTAGAGATGACCGAAGAATTGGAGCCTTCATAAACACTAAAATCAATATTAACATTAGAAAATAGTTTGAGCAAAATAATAATCGGATTAATGAACACACAAACAATTTTTAAGGTTGTCTTGATGCCCCGATTTTGTTATTCACTCTTTGGCCTTTCCTTGTTGGAATCCAAGCTTCACAAATTTCAGAACTTAATGGTGATTCCATGAAGAATTGGAAAGCAAAGGAAGCTGAAATTATGAAGAACAAGACCGACATAAACGAGGTGAAAGTCTTCTGTCCAAAAAAAGCAGATGTATAAAAGATTTGGATTTAGACTCTTTTCACAATTGGGCTACAGGTGTTTTGGGCTCAAAGTACTTGTCCTGCCGATTGATGATATATTTTTATTGGGCCCAAATTCGTCTGAAGCCTCTTGGGCCTGCTATAGAAGAAGACAAGAGAACGTGTACAGATTTCTTATTTCTTGTAAATGAATTATTCTTTCAGTCTCTATCCAATAAATTTGTTATAGTATAGCTAATAGTCATAGGCCAAGTGGCATAGTTAGTTATTGAAAGATTCTTTTTTATTTGTATATAAGAACAAGTTCTGTACAGATTTGATCATCAATTAATATACAGAAAAATTCTCTCAATTAAATCTTCATTCTCTCGTTCTTCTAACATGGTATCAAAGCTTTAAGTGCTCGATCCTTCTTCAATCCATTTTTTTTATCCTAATCAACCATGGGAGACCAAGTCGAGCAGCCCTCAGCATCTGTCACAGCAACCAGCTCTTCTCAGATGGCAACAGTTGCTTCTGCACTTGTTGACTCCTCACATCCTTTTTACCTCCACCCTTCTGATTCACCTGGAATGCTTCTTGTTAACACTCCTTTTGATTGAAGAGGATATGGGGGTTGGAGAAGGGGAATGCTCATAGCTTTGTCTGCTAAGAACAAAGCAGGACTCATTGATGGAACATTTCTTCAGCCCAAAATCTCTTCTGATGACTTCAAGTCTTGGACCCGTTGTAATGACATGGTCATTTCTTGGTTATTAAACTCTCTTTCAAAAGCAATCGCAGAGAGTGTTCTGTACACCAAAACCGCCAAGGAAATCTGGGATGAGCTTGAAGAAAGGTTTGGCCAGAGTAGTGGACCACAACTTTATCACCTACAAAAGGAGATCAGTGAGTCAACACAAGGAAATTTGGACATAGCAGGATACTATACTAAGCTGAAAAAGCTGTGGGATGAATTGGACAGTCTGGATGTATGCCAACACTGTACCTGTGACTGCAGTTGTGGTGGTAAACTCAAAAACTACAAATCTCAACAGGATAGCAGACTCATTCAGTTCCTTATGGGACTGAATGACACTTATGCAGCAGCTAGAAACAATCTACTTCTCCTATCTCCTTTGCCTTCACTGAATCATGCCTACTCCTTGCTTATCAGAGATGAGAAGCAAAGAGAAGTGCAAATCTCTCATCATCCAGCTGAAAGTGCTTTTGTTGCAGCTCAACAACCCTATGGAGGACAGAAAGTCACACCTGCTAAGAAGTTCAACATGGAAACAAAGAAGGGAACTCTTTTGCAACTATTGCAAGAAGCAAAATCATACCATTGAAAACTGTTATAGATTGATTGGTTTTCCCTCAGATTTTAAGTTTACCAAATCCAAAAGATTCAATGGAGCAAAGAGCAATGCAGCAGTTTCAATGGAAACATCAGATACTCAGCCAAATAGTGCAGGAGACTAACCCATGACACAAGATCAGTTTCATAGCCTTTACCAGTTGCTTCAACAAGTGAAAGTTGGTTCTCTAATTGAGCAGACAGATGAGGAGACAGTGTCTGCTAATTGTGCTGGTATACCTCACTCTTTTTCCTCTTCCAAAACATATATCAGTGTTTCTCTTCAATCTATTTCTTGGATTTTAGATTCAGGTGCTTCTGAGCACATGACTTCTGATTTGCAGCTTCTATTTAATGTCAAACTCCTTCCTAAGCCAGTCTATGTAAAGCTGCCTAATTCTGCTAAAGTGTTGGTTTATCAGGCAGGATCAGTAACCATTCTACCTGGCTTTACTCTTCATCATGTTTTGTTTGTGCCACAAGTTGTGTTTGCAATTTCGTTCACTTCTCATTTTCTCCTCTTTTGGTGCAACATTGCAGGCCCCTTCACTGAAGAGGCCAGTGGTGCTTGGTAAAGTCACTAGAGGGATATATGTCTTCAATTCAGTCTACTCAAGCCAAGTTGGTCCAGCCAAGTTTCTCAAGCCTAGAGTAGTTATGTCTAATTTAATCAAGGCTTTTAGCCATTCTGTTTGTAGTCAAAAGTCTAGTAGAGCAGTTTCCAATTCTACTATATGTTTAGCTTCTATTTCTAAAGATGTAAGTTTATGGCATAATAGACTGGGACATATGCCCTTTTCTAATATGAAATGCATCTCTTCTATTTCTTATTCTTCTTCTCCTTCTAATTTTCAGCCTTGTGATATTTGTGCTAAAGCTAGGCAAGTCAAGTTACCTTTCCCCTCTAGTTCTATAACAACTAAACAGATTTTTGATCTTATTCATGTCGACACTTGGGGACCTTACAAAACACACACTTATGATGGTTACAAATACTTTCTCACTATAGTGATGATTTATAGTAGAGCACATTGACATTTTCTTACTCAAAACTAAGTCTAATAGCTTTTACACAATGACTCAAACATTACTTAGCCATAACTGAGAGACAATTTCACACCAAAGTAAGGTATAAGATCAGATAATGCCTTGAGTTCGGGATCCAGTCCCAGTACCTCACAGTTCTTTGCTTCCAAGGTATCTTCATCAAACAACTTGTGTTTTCTCTCCCCAACCAAATGGGGTTGTTGAGAGGAAGCACAGACGTTTACTTGAAACTTGCAGGGCATTACTCTTTCAATCTAACCTTCCAGTCAAGTTTTGGGGGGATTGCTTGTTGACAACAACCTTTTCAATTAACAGATTTCCCTCTAAGGTTCTAAAGATGAAGACCCCTTATGAAGTCTTATTTGGTCAACCTCCTAACTATGGTACATTAAGAGCATTTGGTTATTTATGCTATGCTTCCACACTACCTACACACAGATCCAAGCTAGATCCCAGATCAGTTAAGTGTGTGTTTTTGGGGTATCCTTCTGGCAAAAAGGGATATAAGCTTCTTGATCTACAAACTCACAAGGTCTTTGTTTCAAGGGATGTTGTTTTTCATGAACACATCTTTCCCTATACCTCTATCAAGCCCCTATATACATCAGGTCTGAGAAGAATGGGCGACCAAGAACTCCAAGATACTCCCGTATTTGCATCATGTACAGGAGTTGAGAAAGAGGTTCATAAAGACAAAGTTCCGACATGTTCCCAGAGTCCAGAATGAGCCTGTCGATGCATTGGCCACTCTATCATCCATGATTCAGCATCCAGATAAGAACTTCATAGACCCTATTCCAGTAAAGATTCATGATCAGCCAGCTTACTGTGCTCATGGCGAGGAAGAAGTAGACAGAAAGCCTTGGTTTCACGACATCAAGGAATTTTCGGCCGAAGGAAAATATCCAGAGNTGTTGTTTTTTTTTCAGTTTTTTTTCAGTTTTTTTTCATTGCATTCTGAACTGGTTCCTTTAGGTGATCTTAATCATCCCTAATTCCAACCTGTTCATGTTTTAGATTTGTAATGTGAAAAAGGCAAGGATTATTCAACTATATCTGGAGTTGGACTCATTAACGTGTTATCTCAATCTATGCTTACGTGTTAATTATTGATGCTCTGTTCTTGGCAAAATACATAGTTTTTTTATTGATCTTGCATTCGAATCCCTGTTACACACCTCTTTATCACGGATAATTTTTTACACACACAACCTTTTAGAAGTGTGTCAATGACACGCCACTTTTGTGTTTGACCACCTTTTCTAAACATAGTGTGTGTCACGCATGAATAAGGTTGTGACATGTGTCACTAACTTAAAAGTAGAAAAATAAAACGAATCCATCCAAGTCTTATTTAAAAATAAAGAAAAAGAAAAGGACTCTCCACCCAATTCGTCGGAGAATCCACTCCGGCCATTACTGTCGAGAGNTTTTAACTAATCTGACTACCCACTGTTTTGCTTCCCCTGTGTCCCCTTCTATCTTATCTTTTTCTGCTCTATCTTTCACCAACCAAAATCTCCTAAACACCATTTCTCATATTTCTGAACCTACCTCCTTTTCTCAAGCTTCCCTTCATCCTGGTTGGCAGGAAGCTATGAACCAAGAACTTACCGCTTTAGAAGCAAACAAAACTTGGGATATTGTGAAACTACCTAAGGACAGGAAAGCATTGCCCTGTAAGTGGGTTTACAAGGTGAAATACAAGCAGGATGGTTCAGTAGAGAGGTTTAAAACTCGGTTAGTCATCCGGGGTGACATACAAGGGAAGGGATTGGTTTCAATGAGACCTACTCCCCAGTTGTTAAGATGACCACCATCAGATGTTTATTGACAGTGGCGGTTAAGAAGCAGTGGGATGTTTACCAATTGGACGTCAACAATGCTTTCCTCCATGGAGATTTACAGGAGGAAGTTTACATGAAGTTTCCAGCTGGCCTTACCCCTCCCACCCCTGCTCATGTTTGCAAACTGCGCAAATCTCTCTATGGTTTGCGCCAAGCCTCTAGGCAGTGGTATGCCAGGCTTACTGCTGCTCTGAATTTCAAAGGTTACTCTCATTCGCTCAACGATTACTCACTCTTTTTCAAGAAATCATCAGGCCACACTACCATCATTGCTGTCTATGTCGATGACATTTTACGATTACCCTACATAACTTAATTCTCTTAAGGTGTTTCTAGACTCTGAGTTCAAAATCAAGGATTTAGGTCAAGCACATTACTTTTTGGGTATTGAAATCATCAGGGAAACACAAGGAATTATATTAACTCAAAGGAAATTTACCTTGGATCTTCTTTCTGAATTTGGCTGTTTGGACTCCACACCAGCTTCTTCCCCTCTTGATCCTTGTTGCCACTTGCGTATGAATGAAGGTGATCTTCTACCAGATCCTTTCATCTATCGCAAACTTTTGGGCAAACTCAATTATCTAACTCACACCCGTCCTGATTTGTCATTTGCTATGCAGCACCTCAGTCAATTCATGCAATCGCCTCGTCGTCCTCATTTTGATGCTGCTTTACGTTGTTTACGTTACCTTCTTTTGGACCCTGGTTTAGGGATTTTTCTTTCATCTAATCCCTCCTTCAAGCTTGTTGCTTTTTGTGACTCCGATTGGGGCCGATGCCCGGACACTCGCCGGTCTATCAGTGGCTATTACATTTCCCTTGGTTCTTCTCCCATTTCTTGGAAGTCCAAGAAGCAATCTTTGGTGTCCCTTTCCTCTGCAGAGGCAGAGTATCGCTCTATGCGCCGAGTCATCGCAGAACTCACATGGCTTCTCCGTCTTCTTGAAGACCTTTCTCTTACTCCTTCTATTCCTGTTCCTCTTCACTCTGACAGCCAGGCCGCTATCCACATCGCCAAAAATCCAGTCTTTCATGAACGCACAAAGCATGTCGACCTTGACTGTCACTTTGTGCGACAGCAATACCTTGCTGGTCTCATCTCCTTATCCTTTGTTCCCTCCTCTTCTCAGATTGCCGATGTTTTCACAAAACCCCTTTCTGGTCCGATCCACAAGACTATTTTGGGCAAGTTGGGGGCTGTTTCACATCCCTCCATCTTGAGGGGCGGGGGGGTGTTGGAATCCAAGCTTCACAAATTTCAGAACTTAATGGTGATTCCATGAAGAATTGGAAAGCAAAGGAAGCTGAAATTATGAAGAACAAGACCGACATAAACGAGGTGAAAGTCTTCTGTCCAAACAAAGCAGATGTATAAAAGATTTGGATTTGGACTCTTTTCACAATTGGGCTACAGGTGTTTCTTTGGGCTCAAAGTACTTGTCCTGCTGATTGATGATCTATTTTTATTGGGCCCAAATTCGTCTGAAGCCTCTTGGGCCTTCTATAGAAGAAGACAAGAGAACGTGTACAGATTTCTTATTTCTTGTAAATGAATTATTCTTTCAGTCTCTATCCAATAAATTTGTTATAGTATAGCTAATAGTCATAGGCCAAGTGGCATAGTTAGTTATTGAAAGATTCTTTTTTATTTGTATGTAAGAACAAGACTGTACAGATTTGATCATCAGTCAATATACAGAAAAATTCTCTCAATTACATCTTCATTCTCTCGTTCTTCTAACATTTCTACTACGTGAATGTAGTTTGACATGTTTATTTGATGTGATGATCACTTTGGTGGTCTTTTTCAACTTTATATGGCCTGTTGACCTTCTTCATGTTACGATGCTCGATAATCATCTTTCGGATCGTGATAGACTAGTGCTAGGTAATGAATATTAACGGGGCAATCTGTAACATGGAGAGGATATAATTGTGTCCTTGTTGAGTGGTATATATAGTTGCAAAACAGATTCAGGAGTGGTTAATTTGTATTTCTTGTTCGTCGATGTGAAATGTTTGCCCTCAAGTAGATCTTGCTCTCTTACATGAGATCACCGAGGCAGATCGGTCGACCTAGGAGATTTCGTGAACAATAATCGCTTATCATACTCAGGTTCATGCCTTAGTTTTTGACTATTGTATATTCAAGCTCTTTATAGCATGCTGACTCATGTACCAAAAGTAGTTTATTGCATAAAACGGTAGGTGATAAAAAGTATGATAATAGTCATTTGAAAATATAGAACAATCAATATACTAGAGATGAATTAGCAGAGTTGAAGTTATGATGACCAAATTAAATAGTGATAGATGCAAACGACATCGAAGATATAAAACGCAATCTATACAGTGTATAGACGTTAAAGTAACAGTTTAAAAGACCAAAAAGTTGAGACTCATTCATGACTCACCTCGTGGCAAGGATGGAAGACCGAAAGTGAACACAAGGAGAGTAAATGATGGAAGTGGCAATCCCGTAGTATTTCTGAAAAACAGCACCAAAAATTCAAATACCCCAGTGGCAAATTGAATGTTCCAGCACCTTCAGCAACGTAATTACTAGTTAGCACACTAACACTTGACTGCAAAAAATGCATTGGAACACAAAGGGAGTCCACAAACTGAACTTGTGGCTGTTGTCTCTTTAACCTGGATGCTCGTCCACTCTCGCACATACACTTCCTTAAATTGCCCTCTCTTAACTCTCTATCTCTATCTCTATCTCTATCTCTCTCTCTCATCGCTTTACTAGCTAACTTTGAGAGAGAGACTAGACTCTTTAATTAATTTGTCACCCCAAATTCCATGGCCGCCAGCAGAATTTCCTTTACTTCCAGTTCTCAAACCATTTATTTCCGTCACAGCCCATTTCTTGGCCCAAATCCGGTTTTCCCAATCTCTTCCTTTTCTCGTAATCTTGGCACAATTCTCAGGTCTAGGAGAAAACCCAGTTTCACAGTTTGCTTTGTTCTGGAGGATGACAAGTTGAATACTCAATTTGACAAGTTGAATGCTCAATTAGAGACTGGTACAGAGGAGATTGAAATGAAAATTGAGGAGCAGATCTCAACGACGCGTTTAGCGGAAAAGTTGGCTAGGAAAAAATCGGAAAGGTTTACTTATCTTGTGGCTGCCGTTATGTCTAGTTTTGGGATTACTTCCTTGGCTATTATGGCCGTCTATTACAGATTTTCGTGGCAAATGGAGGTATGAAACACTCCATAATTAATTCCCAGTTCACTCTTCTTCTCCTTTTTCTTATCTTTAAATTTTTTTATATTTTGTCTGTTTTTGGTGTAGGGTGGAGAAGTGCCTTTAACTGAAATGTTTGGTACATTTGCTCTCTCAGTTGGTGCTGCTGTAAGTTTTTTCTTTTCTACTATCTTTTAGCGTCTGGTAATACATGACAACCAGAGATATAAGTATCTCCTGTTCATTTCATATGATATTGTATATAATTGAACTACATTAAAACTTAGACACTACTATAGTGATTATGAAACAAAACGTTAAGCTGCTACATATAGGTGTATCAATCATCAATGTTTTCAACTAGACTACTTTTAAAGAGTTGTTGCAAGTCATATTGATAAAGAAAAATGTCTAATGTGTTTTACATAAAATTGAAAGAGGAGTGAGTACCGATTAGGACTAGGAGACTCATTTATGGTTGACGAAGTTGGATGTTGTTCGAATTTCAGGTAGGAATGGAGTTTTGGGCAAGGTGGGCTCATAGAGCGCTTTGGCACGATTCTCTTTGGCACATGCACGAGGTTTGTGTTCTACTTTCTAATTTGGAGCTTAAATGCTTACTAAACTATGCTAATTTTATAAAAATCTCAACTTAATTAAATCCTTTCTCTTACCTTAAATTGTTGCAGTCACACCACAAACCAAGAGAAGGACCTTTCGAGATGAACGATGTGTTTGCCATAATCAACGCCGTTCCAGCAATAGCCCTTCTCAACTATGGTTTCTTCCATAAAGGCCTCATTCCTGGCCTCTGCTTCGGCGCTGTATGTTTCATTTCACTCACTCTTCACTATTTACTGTGGTTTTAATCTTTACCAACAGCGGTCTGGAATATTTTTCTAAGATCAGATTACTATCCATGTAATGTACAGTCAGACCTCTCTACAACAGCATTCCTATGTAACAAACACTTCACTATAAAGGCCAAGTTTTTTCGAAACCATTTTCATGTTATGTTATAATATATGTTCTCTATAACAGCACTTTGCTATAACATCTAAAAATATTTGGAACAAACGAGGCTGTTATAGAGAGATTTGACATAAATACATTGATCAAAAGAGAGGTATAGAGAAAGAAGCCCAACATATTAAATTGATTAAAAAAAAATGCCTTGTAATGCAGGGGCTAGGGATCACAGTATTTGGGATGGCTTACATGTTCGTTCACGATGGTTTGGTTCACAAGAGATTCCCCGTCGGACCTGTAGCCAATGTACCTTATTTGAGGAAGGTGGCCGCAGCTCATTCGGTAATTAAAGATGCTTTAAACTATAACTATGGCTTATAAAATATAATCTCAAATCTAATCAGAGTTAGCATGATTGTTAAGTAGATATTAATAGTATTAAATCGGTTGGTAAGATAATTTCCTTAATTCATTTGTTGATATTTGCAGCTCCATCACTCAGAGAAGTTCAATGGTGTCCCATATGGTTTGTTCTTAGGACCAAAGGTGCTCTCTCTACTCTTTTCCACTCCCCACACTTCCCTTCATGTTCATAAGCTTTTTAAAATTACACAAGACATTGTGTTTTAATTTCAGTAAACAAGGGAGTAGTATATAATAATAGGAAATACTAACAAGTGGAATGGTGATTGGTGCAGGAATTGGAAGAAGTAGGGGGGATTGAAGAATTGGAAAAGGAAGTGAACCGAAGGATAAAACTTTCAAGGGGATCATGAATGATTGACCATCTTCGTGGGGAAATTTTTGGATGTATTGAATAGAGAAAATGCAGCTCTATTGATCATGAAATGAAATTTGTATTTACTTAGGCTCTTATTCACTAAGATACATTAGAAATTATTAACCAGCGATCTCCCCCTCTCTCTCTCTCTGCGCCCGCGCATGTGCCAAGTCTTGGAGGCTAATAATTGAATGTCCTGTGGCTCTTTTTTTTTTTTTTTGTTGGCACGACTGAAGAATGATATTTGGAAAATGTAAAATAGATCTGTTGTGTTAGTAGACTTTAGAATTGAATCAAGATGAGTCTAGTCAAAATCAATTAAACTTGTTACGATACCAAATCAAGTTCGAGCAAGCTCAACCAAGTCAAATTAAGTTGAACTCGGTTAGGTATTGAATTTTACTTGACTTAGCTAGCGTTTGGACATAGATTTTCAAATTTATTTTGGAAATTTTGATTCGGGTGAAGTTTAGTTTGAAGACGAAAATGTGTTTGGATAAATTTTCAAAACATATTTTATCTTTTTTTTTTTAAAAAAAATATGACTTATACCCACAAGTTCTAAAAAATATCATAAATAGCCAACGTACCTTTATCGATAACATTCATTATAAAAGGATATTGTTAGTGTTTTCTGTCTCTAATATTTTCTCTCGACGCACGTTAACGTACGCTTTGGAAGCCATGGGAGGGAGAGGCAGACCTAAGAAGAACCTTATGAAGGTTCCGATTATAGATCAACGATCAACGAAAGCAAAAAATGCTATTTTAGAATTGTTTGTTTCACTAAAGAAGTGAGAATTGAAGAACCAAATGAAGCAGTCACTCCGAGAAGCATGCAAAGTGAACAGAGCAAGGAGGAATCAGATCTAGCTCGCAAAAATGGCAAAATGAAAGATGTAGATGTTACACTTGTAGTTGCACAAGCTATAGGAGGTGGATCTGGAAGCGGGACAACTCAAATACAAACGAAGACTCCGAGCAACAATGGAACAGTACCATGCAGCTCAGGTACTGTTGAGAACAGTAAAATTGCTGAATTAGGAAAAGATAGCAAGACTCAGACATGGGCAAATGTGGTGGGGGTAACAAATTAGCGATGAAAGATATGAATCTGCAATTTATTGCACCGGTAATTCAGAATGATGAGAAGATTGTGAAATTAGACCTCGAGGATGTAGAATAGGAAAATGATAAGTGGAGTTCTGCGATTGTGCTTTATATGATAGGAGATTTACCTACTATTGGAGCAACGGAAAGATTCCTGAGCTCAATGGGTAAATTTTCAGTGAAGCCACAGATCTACTATTATAATGATGATTATTTTGTGATAAAGTTCAGTAATTTGGAAGAAAGAGATCAAGTACTATATTTTGTCCCTCATATGGTGAACAATCGTCCTATAATTATGAAAGCATGGTCAGCATATTTCAATTTGCATGATGAAGTACTAAAAACCGTTCTCCTGTGGGTCAGATTTCCCAATTTGCCGCTCAATTGTTGGAGTATGAAGTCCCTAAGCAAGATAGGTAGTGCTTTGGGAAACCCTGTCTATGCTGATGAGTGCACTACTGGATCAATTAGAATCTCTTATGCAAGAATGCTAATTGAAATGGATGTCACTAAACCACTGCCTAGAATTGTGAAGCTGCAAGATCCAAAGGGCAAAACAATACTGCAGGGAATTACATATGATTGGGAGCCAGCATTCTGTGCTAAATGTTTGAAAATAGGCCATGATTGTAATGAAGTCAAAGCGCCACAACCACAGAGAATGATATATCAGAGGAAGGTGAATAAAGGCAAACAAGTTTGGCTCAGAACTGATAGAGATGGCTCAAATGATAAAAAACAGGAGGCTGAACAAAGTAAGAAGAATGAAGCAGTCCAAACATCAGAACAAGGGGAAAAGACAAAGGACAATGAGAAACAAGGAAAGGAAGATGGGTGGATAACAGTGCAGCCAAAGCTAAACAAAATGAGGAGCAAAACCTGGTTGGAAACAATGGATTCCAACCTCTGTGAAATGATCAACAAATAGTGATCCAAGCACAAGTTGTATGCAGATGAGGAGTGTAGGGGTGCAGGAGCTGTATCAAGGTACTCATTTCATACCAGTATGAGTGTGATCACGTGGAATGTTAGGGGGTTGAATAAAAGTTATAAGCAAAAGGAGATAAAGGAGTTTATAAAAGTAAATAAAAAAGCAGTAATAGCTCTAGTTGAGCACATAATAAAGGAACAAAAGACTAGAGATGTAATGAAGAAGATTGCACCTGGATGGCAATGGATAACTAACTTTAGTACAATGAACAAAAGTAGAATTTGGGTGATTTGGGATCCTAGAATCTATGTGTTTGACCTAACTAAAGTTGATGAGCAACTAATACATGGTCAGCTCAGAACAGTCTCAAAGTTGTTTACAATTGGATTTACAACAATCTATGGGTTACATACCATCAAAGACAGGCAGAGTTTGTGGAGAAAGTTGAGACAGATCCATATTACACAACATGGGCCTTGGTTAGCAATGGGAGATTATAATGCTGTGTTAAATGACCAAGACAGACAACATGGCTCTGTGAGACAAGATATGGAGACAAAAGATTTCAAGGAGTTCATGAAGGATACTGGGATGAATGGGTTACAAACTGTAGGAAGGGAATATACCTAGACAAATAATCATACTTATAGTAGAATAGACAGGGGATTGGTTAATGCTAACTGGATGCTGACAATGCCAAGCTTAAAAATACAGGTGCTAGAACCATCTGTGTCTGATCATTCTATACTTAAACTAATGATTACACAGATACAGAGGAAGAAGAATAGGCCATTTAGATTTTTAATTGTTTAGCAGATCATCCTCAGTTTATACAGCATGTTGAGCAAGTATGAAGTGTAGATGGGAACAAAAGGAATGATGCAGGAAGTACGGAATAAGCTCAAAAAGGTCAAGGAGGTTATAAAAGGGATAAACATACAACATTATCAAGGGGTATAAGATATAATTAAAGAAGCTAGGAAGGAGTTGCAAATTATTCAAGAGAAGATGAGTGACAGAATGCAACAGCCAGACTTAATTGAGAAGGAGAAAAGTTTAAAATGTGAATTAGAAAAATGGACACAGATTGAAGAGAGTATCTACAAGTAAAGATCCAGAGTCCAATGGCCGAAATTGGGAGATTCAAACTCTGCTTATTTCTTTGCACAAATGAAGAACAGGAATAACTTGAATGATATTCAGGCTCTAACAAATGACTTGGGGATCCAACTAATGCTAGAAGAAGACATAGAGGCAGAAATATTGGGATATTATAAGGAATTGTTGGGTTCAAGAGCAGCAAGTATCCCTGCTATTAATCCAAATATCATGAAGATGGGAGCAGTATTAAGTAGGGAGCAGCAGTTGCAACTCATCCAACTAGTGACTAAGGAGGAAGTTTGGTTAGCATTGAAGGATATTAGTGACCTAAAAGCACCTGGCTATGATGGATTTAATGCAGTATTTTTCAAAAAACTATGGAAAGTCATAGGAGAGGATGTGACTAAGGCTGTTCTGGAGTTCTTTGAATCAGCTCAAATGTACAGACCTATCAACTGCACAATAATCACTTTGATCCCTAAAGTAAGAAATCATACCAATATTAAAGAATACAGACCAATCTCTTGCTGCACTACTTTGTATAAAGTGATCTCTAAGGTCTTAACTAAGATATTACAAAGGGTGATGGATGCACTGATTGATAAAACACAGTCTGCCTTTGTTCTTGGAAGTGTGATAACTGACAACATTATTCTTAGCCATGAACTTGTCAAAGGATATGGAAGGAAAGGGGTGTCACCAAGGTGTGTGATGAAACTAGATATGCAGAAGGCATATGATTCTATTGAATGGGCTTTTATGGAGCAGGTGCTGAATGCACTAGCTTTTCCAGAACAGTTTGTGAGATGGATCATGACATGTATGCAAAATGTTACATATTCAGTCTTGGTTAATGGTTCACTAACACAACCATTTGAAGCTAGGAAGGGGCTGAGGCAAGGGGATCCATTATCTCCATTTCTATTTATGCTGGCAATGGAATATTTGACAAGAAACCTAAAGACTCTGAACTAGATTACAGATTTCAATTATCATCCCAAGTGTGAAAAGTTGCAAATTTTGCAACTTGGTTTTGCAGATGACCTTTTACTTTTTTGCAGGGGTGACATAGGATCAATCAAGCTACTTTATAACTACTTCATGGAATTCTCAAAAGCTTCATGATTGGTGATTAACAAGAATAAAAGCTTAATCTTTTTTGGAGGGGTATCACAAGATGCGCAGGAAGCTATTCTGGAATTTCTGGGAATCCAAGAAGGTGAACTGCCAGTTAGATACCTAGGAGCTCCCTTAAGTTCTAAGAGAATATCAATAGTTCAATGCCAGCCCTTAATTGATAAAATAGTTGGCAGAATAACCTCATGGACAGCTAAATTCCTATCTTATGCTGGAAGGATTCAATTGATCAAAAGTGTATTGTTCTCTATTCAAACTTTCTGGGCACAAATCTTTGTGCTCCCAAAGAAGATCACTAAACTAATTGAGGCAATATGCAGAAGTTTTTTGTGGACAGGGGAGGGCAATATCTCTAAGAAAACATTAATGGCATGGGAAAAAGTATGTTTGTCCAAATCAGCAAGGGGTTTCAACATTATGAGCATCACACTGTGGAACAAAGCAGCTATATGTAAACAATATTGGAACCTATGCAAAGAGAAGAACAAACTTCGGATTCAATGGATGCACAGTTACTACATCAAAGGCAGGAACATATGGGAATTCCAACTGAAGCAAACATCATGGATGATGAGCAAGATTATAAAAGCAAAGAAGACATTTGAGGAAGCAGGCTTTAATCATGAAGACATCAGAAAGATGAACCACTGTTCAATTAAGCATATATATCACAAGCTGAGAGGAAGCTTCAGTAAAGTGAGTTGGAGAAGAGTTGTATGCAATAGTGCAGGCTGCCCTATGTGTCCATTTATACTAACAATGACAGCACATGGCAAGTTATATACCAAAGACAGACTGAGAAAATGGGGAATACAAATTGATCAGGAGTGTGTTCTGTGCAGACAAGCAAGTGAAACTATTCAGCACTTATTCTTTGAGTGCTCATATGCAGCTGGATTGTGGGGTAATCTGCTAACTTGGCAAGGGATAAGAAGACCAATATATAGATGGGCTGAAAAATGGCTGAAGAGGAAAATTGCAACAAATAAACTATATAAGATGACACTAACAGCATGTGTATACTATGTGTGGCAACAAAGAACTACCAGAATCTTTCAAGCTAAAGTGAGACGATGGGAGATACTTGGCAAGATGATTATACAGGAAATACATTATCGAAGCAATAAGCATGTGGAAAAGCGTTAAGTAGATTGGATTGGTACTCTATGTAACAGACAAATAGTATAGTATTGAAAGGTGGTAAAGCTGGGGGGGGGGGGGTACAGAAAGTGTAGGATATATGTAAGGTTTTTTGGATTTACTTGTAAATATTTTCCTGGTAAATGAAAGTTTTAATTACCAAAAAATAAAATAACATTCATTATATTATCGCAAACCATAGTTATGAACATAAATAAATTTGGTACAAAATTATCATTTTTATAATGAACTACATAATACACTATCACGTGACCGAGAAGACGAAACGACATTGTTACAAAATAATAAAATGGTGGGCTCTTTTATAAAATACAAAAGTTTGGGACAATTTTTTAAAAATATAATAGTGATATTTTGGGCTGGTTTTGTGTTTCGAAAATTTGCCAAATTGTAGATAAAATCTATGGTCAAACATATATTTGTCAAAAAAATACGAATATATATTAACAAAATCTATGGCCAAATGGATCCTCAATAAGATAGAGATGAGTCTAGCTAAAATACATTGGTGTGGAAGTTTGTTGCACCCCCAATTTTGAGCGTGCTTCATTTGCTATTGCTTGAGTTTGCGTATGGAATTCCGAGGATGATGAGTACACGTCAACTACACAAATATCTGTTTCTCTTCTCAAGTATGAACAGAAAAGGTGCAATAGCTTTTGATAAGACGCACCTTTTGTCAAGGTTTTCATTATCCTGCTAGGTCATCTAAGGTATCATACATTGGAGAACAAAAGTTGGAAAAAATATCTATACTCCTAACCGACAAAGTTACTCCAAGAAATGACACTGTGATGTTAGCAAAATTGTTTAAGCAATTAAAAAGTTGACAACTTGATATTGGTGTAGAAAATTCCTACCAAACATTCCATTTTTAATAACCGTCTTTTAGTTGTTGAAATTCTGAAAAGACAGACACAACTTTTTTAAAGATTTATCTCGCCCCTCTCTCTCCAATCTTATCCATGTGGCGGAGACAAGATTTTTATTAAGGGAAATTAAAATATAAAGAAATAAATCCATCAAGAAGTCAAGGGGTGTCAATATATATATATATATATATATATATATATATATATATATATATATATATATATATATATATATATATATATATATATATTT